CTAAGGACTTGCTCACTATATTTAGGGAAAAGAGCCCTTATACCTCAAAAAAAAAAAAAAATTACCCTTAAATGTCTCATTACTTTCATACCCTTTTTATTTTAAAATGACATATAATTCACGTGCCGACGTCATGTTGATGTCAGTGCCCACCCTTTTTTTCTCTCTGATACCATCTTAGTATATTACAGTATATGAATATACTTTGATGGTATCAAAGAGTAATTGAGCAGTGTCTTCATTGAAGGATTGTTTCTTCCTCCTTGATACTATCAAAATATAATATACTTTGATGGTATTAATGAATAATCGGAGAGTGTTTTCATTGTGGTTTGCTTCAGTCCTTCGATGAGATTACTTAATCATCCATGATACCATTGCGGTATATCTACATATTGTCGTGGTATCATTGAGGTATGTTTCAATTCTTCAATATTTTAATCTAAAACAGTTTTAAAAGAGTCATAACTTAGATATGATTTTTTTTAAATTTGCACAGAAAGAATTGTTTCTTATTTATTTCTTAAAAAAAGAGTTCAATCCTATATGATACCAATAGGGTATCAATATACCTATGGATATCACAGAGGATAAAGCTCAGTCTTATATGATATAGATATGATATCAATATACCGACAGAATACCACAAAAAATATATTTTCTATTAATTTAAAGTTAAATAAATAAGAGTGTGACTTTGATAATTTTCTATTAATTGTTTCTTATTTATATCTTAAAAAAAGAGTCAAATCCTATATGATACCAATACGGTATCAATATACCGATGGAGTATTCGAAGGATTAAGCTCAGTCCTATATGATACCGATATGGTATCAATATATTGACCGATTATCACATAGAATTTATTCATAGTAGTGATATTGACGGCATGCACGAAATAAAAAAGGAGAAAGTGGGATAAGTGGGTAAATAGTTTGGATCATGGATTCATTAAGAATAAATAGTTTCATAATTGAGTCAATTTTGTGTAGTTTTCCCTTGTATTTATGGTATAATATAATGACTAGCTCGTAGCCATTAGCTTTTTATGGATGCATTTTAGTGAATAGTCTCTTTTTTCTTTCCATTAGGTGTTTGATATTTTTATTGAGATTCGATAAAACTTGAATTCGCGTGTGTTGCATGAAAATTACGCTTTCAATAAAAAAACATTTCTAAAAAATTAAATTAAACCCCTCTAACTAAGGATGACTCTAAATCATCCTACCACAACTTAGGTTAATTAATTAATCAACTTGCTAGTCCATCTATTAGCCCTAATGTCAGAAGCCGTGCATCCATGCAAGTCTTTGCTTTGAATATCCAGAAAAAGTCTAATTGTGCATAGGGTAGCCAAATTAAGTTCAAACAAAATTTGAAAGGATTATGAGTATGTATATATATATATATATATATATATATATTACTAGAGCAGTATGAAAAGAAATTACTTAATATTTTGTCTTTGTTGGAATTTGAACCAGAAGTCTCATGGTGCTCGATCAGCCCACTTCATATCCGACTTTTTTTTAGAAAAAAAAAAAAGAACAAGTAAAACTTGAATCGAACTATAATAATACATTGTTTAATCTATCTTGATTTAGTTCATTTCAACATAAGTAATGTTTGAACGAATTAATAACGTGTTTAGATTCAGGTCAATTCGTCCATTTGTCATGTTCACAACTCTACCAGCCGAAAATTAAGACTCACAATATCTTTTTTCCCTATATATATTCATCCATTTGGAAACTTTCCTTCACCCATCAACACTTTCTTACACATATAACCTTTTCAATCATTACAAAAATAGCCACAATGTCCCATTTAGCCTTTCTTTCACTAATTTTCACCATTTTCATCTCTACTTCTAACGCCATTTCTCAATGTAACGGCCCTTGTAAAACCTTGGACGATTGTGATGGTCAATTAATTTGCATAAATGGAAAATGTAACGATGATCCTAACGTTGGAACCAAAATTTGCAAAAATAACCCTCCTTCTGTCCCTTTTCCTCCTCCTCCTCCTCCTCCAACAACAACCAATACATGTCGTCCGTTTGGCACAGTCAATTGCAACGGTAGACACCCAATATACCGTTGTTCGCCACCTGTCACCTCCTTAACACCCGCTCAACTTACCCTCAACGAGTTCGATATTGGTAAATCATGTGATGGGAAATATCATAACAATAATGAAAGAATAGTGGCATTGTCCACCGGATGGTTTGCAGGACGTTCGAGGTGTGGTAAAATGATACTAATTCGTGCTAATAATGGAAAGACTGTTACAGCTAAAGTGGTGGATGAATGTGATTCTACTATGGGTTGTGATGCGGAACATGCTTTTCAAAGTCCATGTAAAAATAACATAGTGGATGGTTCCATTGCGGTGTGGAGAGCTTTAGGGTTGGATACAAATTTGGATAATGTTACTGTCACTTGGTCCATGGTCTAGGTAAGGGCCAAGCGATCGTTATAGATTTGATAGAATTCAATAACTTTATAACTTAAATTATATACTTACTGAATAAACATGTCATCTTACATGTAATAAGATGTACATTGGAGTTCCTTAAAAATAATGAACTAGGATATAATTCCTAACTAATAATTAGTGTTCTTCTTTCGTCTCAATTTATGTGTAATTGTTAATTACTATTAAATTAACAATTAATTGTTTCCTACTTTGTTAGTAACTTTGGATGTGAATTTTATTTGAACGAACTTCTATATTCAAAAGAAAATTTCAGTGTATATAGATTATACACTTATTTTACCGTTGTTATACGATGAATATACAGGTTGACTATTTCAAATTGATACGTACGACATACTAGGTAGCTGAATTTTAGCAAATATTGAAGTACTATACTTTATTTTTGTGAAAAAAAGTTAGGTGGAATAATGTTGATACAGTTAATGGTGTGTAAAAATCGAACCGATTAATAAATCGAACAGAAAAAATGTTATTGGGTTATTGGGTAAACCGATAACTCAATAAGACGGTAAAAATTTACTATTTTACCCTTCCTAAATATTAAATATTAATAATTATATATATAACTAGACACTGTAACTATATCAAATTATTAGTACTCCACCCACTTCACACTAGGCCGCTTTACGAGTCTTTACTGATTACTAGTTCGCAATTGTAGTTATTTGATTTTAGTTTTAGTTTTAGTCTTGTTGAACTATTTGATTTTAGTTTTAGTTTGTAATTGTAGGTTGTAGCTTTTGCAAGTTTGTAAAGGTCTGTGATTTGATTAACATCAGAAATTACATACTATGTTTTGGCGATGATGTGTAATTATAGCTTTCGTACTATCTTTTCTCTTATTGATGCAATTTCTCATTGTCTTTCTAGTTTCACTATATCAAAGCATTTAGAGAAGTGAGAAGTCATATAATATTTTACGGATATTTTCTTATTGGGTAAATCGAAAACCGAATCAATAACGATCAAAAATCAGTAAGCCGAAAACCAAAAAAATATCTTATTGGTTTATTATTGGGTTAGCATATTTAAAAACCAATAAACTAAACCGATAATACATAAATCGAACCGATCGATGCACACCGTGGTAGAAACATGAGGGACCATTTAAATCCTAAGTCTAAATGTTGTACAAATATAATTGCTAAACATTTAATAAAAAGATGCTTTGTCTTTCTTTTTCTTTCGATAAGAGTTAAAATAAAAGGGAGAGGCGGCCGGGGGGGGGGGGGGGGGCGCACTCACTTAATTTGGCAAAATAATTTGAGTTGTATAAAAAAGAAAAAAAAGTTAAAGAAATATTTCCTTAAAAAAGAAATCATGAGTTGTATAAAAAAGAAAAAAGTTACAATGTTGGGGAGTGGGGGAGGGGGGGGGGGGGGGGGGGGTTTGTCCCTTGGATGACTTGAATAAATGGGAAAATAACAATTGGGCCTTGCACTCCAAACATAAAAGAGAGCTTTTTTTAAGGGAAAACTACATAAATGGGCCTTAAAATTCAAAATAATTACAAGTTTTAAAGTAATTTCTGAAAGAACCATTCTCTCATAAATAATTACAGTTCATACCCCCATTTATTAAGGCTGATAATTTTCGCTTAACTGCTACTAAAGTGGTATCATATATTGTATTGGTATCATTAAGGTTGATAATTTCACTCAACTGATATTAAATCAGTATATATATATATATATATATATATATATATATATATATATATTGTATTGATATCATCAAGGTTTTTTTTTTCAGAATTTAGTTATTAGTCTATGATACTATAAGAGTATCTATGTATATTGTTGCGGTATCATTAAGATTTCTTGTTCAGAAATTACTCATTAGTCAATGATACTATAAGAGTATATACTAATGAGTAATTTCTTAACAAGAGTCCTTAGTGATACCAATACAATATATATATATATATACTGATTTAGTATCAATTCAGCGAAATAATCAGCCTTAATGATACGTACCAGTACAGTATATATATACTGATTTAGTATCAATTCAGCGAAATGATCAGCCTTAATGATACCAATACAGTATATGATATTGATTTAGTATCAGTTAAGCGAAATTAGTAAGGGGGTATATTGTGTAATTATATAGTGGGTATGAATGTAAAGGAGTATATGTTTGTAATTATTTTGCTTTTATGGAGTATTTGCTTATTTTTCCTTTTTTTTAAGTGAGTCGTTTCAGGTAAGATATTGCTTAGAACCAACCAATCATGTGAGTTTTGTCCCTTGGACGACTTGAATAAGTGGGAGAATAACAATTGCACCTCCCTACACCCTTAACATAGAGGAAAGCTTTTTCTAAGTAAATTTGTTGCAAGACATTGTTTAGAACAAACGAGTCAAAGGAATTTTATCCTCTAACGACTCGAGTAAATGAGAAAAATAACAATTAGGCCCTACTCCACCAACATAACAATTAGATCCATTTTACGCATGCCATTCCCTCTTAAAGTTTGTTATGCTCAAATCATAAGAAATTTATTAAAATATATACAAAGATATGATTGATATTAGTAAACATTGTCTACAAGACTACAATTCTTACTTAATTATATCTGAGAATCATACATTAGGAGCCTTTGCAAGATAAAACTATGTCATAAAATATGGTGAAATTAAAACCTAGTAATAAATTCCATCAACTACTGGAGAAATGACATAATCTACAAGCTAAACTATAGCTACAACATTATGTTTTACTCTTCATTTTTTCTTCACCTTTCAATCAACAAAGTCATGAATCATGTGACCTCCAAACTGCTGCCTAAGCCGATGTTCGTGTAGTTGCAACTGTTGTTGTTGTTGAGCAGCCTCGGCGTTTTGCCTTAGCCCTAATGTCAATGACACAGCTCCGATATTACCTCCAATATCAAGTGCATTTCTTTGGTAAGGTACAAACCCCATCAACGATCCGTCCATGCTTGATGCAGCAGAGATATTATGACACTCTATCCTCGAACGTTTTTCTTCATTCCTCCACATATGATGATCACTACTACTCTCATCTAAACGTTCCGAGGGTCCTATTAATCCTTGACAATCTTCTTGCTTCTCTGGCATTACTACGCCACTCATGTTGAGTAGTACATTACTGAAATGTTGGCCACGACTTACATGGCTGGTTCGTTCTGTCACGAGCTTATTCACATCTGATTTTCTTGTTTGATCTCCTCCTTTAGTCTCCAACATATGAATCTCTTCAACCATCGGTTTCCATACACGTACACGTGCATTGATGAACCAATTCGAAACCTGTATAAAACATACAACAGATATTCGTGTGTGTAAACTCATGAATACAGAACCAATAAAATCGTCTTTTTTTTTTTCATTTTATAAAAACATAAATCTATACCTGGTTTCTAGTTAAGCCAGTTTGAGAAGCCAACATGTGTTTATCACTATCTGTAGGATACCTACATATCATGTAAAGTTCATTTAAAATAGAGTAACTAAACAAAGATGAAGTACTAAGTTAAAATGGAACAGAGAGGAAAATTTACGGGTGAAGGAAGTGATCGAAAAGCCAAGCTCTAAGAATAGCCACAGCGCGTTCTGGTAAGCCTCGTTGAGGTCTCCAGACATGTTGTTGTGATTCAAGAAACGCGACCCCAGCTCCACCTCCACTTTTCTGTTTATGTAACGACGTCTGGTCAACAAATTTCAACCTAGATGAATTTCCATCGGCTTTGTTACTCATACCAGATGCAGGGGATGGCAAGTCTTCACCCAACGCTTGCCTTATGTTTTTCAAGTGATCCGTGATGGCATTCCTCAGTGACTTAAAATGTTGCGAGACAGTTTTGAGTGCAAAGGAAATGTACGGGGTAGCTGCACTAAGACCAGCCACGGTTTCAAAAGACGATACAACCATTTGCATTTGCTGATGATACTGTTTGTATTTTTTACAAATCTGACAAAACAGAACAATACATTTCAGTCAGTAACAAACGTTGTCCTGTAAGTACAAGCTCGATAAGTGAAACAAATAGTAGAAAACAACTACATCTTTTTCAGAAACATGATCAATCCCAAACGCGGAGATAAAAAATTAGTATCTGTCGGTATAACACAGTAGAATGTTGCTGTCCAACCTCAAAAGTAAAGTTCTTTAAATGATGAGATTCTTAACTTTAATAAAGTTACTTAACACAAACATCATTTGATTGATAATTAATCATTCTTTACAAGAAACTGTATTCTTTCTTTTAAATGCACGATGGGGAACATCGAGAAGAAGCAAGACATGGTGTTCAAAAACATCGACTATGTCCTACAAACAAACAAAAAAGCAAGTAACAGACGCTTTTACAATGTACCTTTCCAGATGGAAACAAGCTGCAAATTTGTTATATAAACAGTAAGCCAAGGCAGATGAGAAACGTTATCGTTTATATAACTTTTAATAGAGAAATCACAAGAGAATCAGTAGCTAAAAGATAACCTTAAGCAACGGAAATTCAATAATCAACACCAAATTCAGTCAAGTAGAGAAACTAATCGCGGATTTTTCATTTTCAAAAGCTAGTGTATATATACATATTCCGTATCACATTGTGTATATCCGGGGGGATATTCATACTGGAAACTACACAAGGATCATTATCAACTATCTAAACGTCAAGCATATCATCGTCAAATGATCCAAGAAGAACTACACAACATTTTACAGAATATGTTTTTTTACAGTAAAAAATTTCATTCTTTTGGTTTGTTAGATATGTTTTACAATATAATTTCGAACAGAAAAATACAAAATCATATCGAACATTACACTAGGGAAACTACATTTGAGGGAGAAAAAAAAAGATGCTTCTACCAATTACATGGAGAAAAGGACACTTTTTTGTGAGTATTATTAAAACCATATTATATAAAGTAGATATAGAAACAAATTTCATTCAAAATAAATATCCACAACAAAGATGGAGAATTAAAGAATTTGCAGCTGTGTATTTATTTATATCTAGAATTATTATTTTTTAACAAAACATGGATTTCTAGTTTACAACAAGATAAAAAGAAGAAAAAAGGAGTACTCTTGAACTATGTTGCTTAAACTCATTAAAAATGGCGACGGATGCGTATCGATTCTTCAAATGTAGTGAATTTTTGAAGAATACGAAACGAGTGCAGGATTAGTTTTGGAAATTCCGAGCAACATAGCTCTTTGAGAAAATCTTAATCTTGTTTCGAAATTCATGTAGCTGTAAGACAGCTGGAAATTTCTAATAATTGGAAGACAAAATCATGTTTGTAAATTAAACTAAACAACATACACAGTGTAATCACACAAGTAAAGGTGAGGTGCGTATGCAACCTCACGGTTACCAAGGGAAGGAAAGGGGGCTGATTTCGATAGACCCTAGATTCAAGTGATCAAGCAGATTAAGCTAACTAAGCTAAACAACCACATATCTAGTGTAACCCCAAATGTAGGGGTATGGGGGGTACGCAGCCTTACCCTTGCCTAGGATATGCATAGAGGTATTTTCCGATAGACCTTCAGCTCAAGTGGTCAAGCAAATTTAGTCAAATAAAGCTAGAGGTAACAAATCATCATCTCTGGAAAAGGAAAATGCACGAATAAACAAACCTCTTCCTGCATAAATATTAGCTTCGCCTTCTTCTGGAGATACTCAGGACACACATTTGATTCATTCAAACCACTCGAATCTCCGCCACCACCACCACCACCAGATGAAGACTCAGCAGCAGCATTAACATCACAAGAAACCCTAAAACCATCACGAACTTTCTTCGAGAAATTTGAACATTTAACCACATTTGATGAACCTGCTGCTGCAAGCTCACAAAGTTCATCCAACAATTGTTGTGCTGGTCTTAGAAACTTTGAGCTTTTGAGTATCGTTGCATAGCCGGTGAAAGGACCAAGTGGCACCGCACTACGATGTGCAATTGCAAAATTTTCAGGTACTATCACATTGTTCCTCTTCTCCATTTGCAACGTATTCGTTCTTGGAACCGGTGAAAGAGATAGAGCCAAGCCTTGAACACTGGAATTATCAGATACATTGGTTCTAAAATTTGACCCCAATCCACAATTCTTATCATACAAATGGTGCGATTGATCCATATAATTCGAAACCATAAGTCCACTCTCATTCTCCATCCACGAACCAACACGTCTCGTATCAACACCTTGATTTCCAACAGTAGCAGATTTAACAACTTCTTGAAGAGTATCATGATAAAGTACAGAAGAGCTAAACTCAGCATTACTAGTAATAGCATCTGAAACTGACTGCTGCTGCATTTCATTATAACCACCACCATAAAAATACGGTTTCACATCAATCGTACTACTATTCAAATTCAACGATGCAGATAACACACCTCCTTCTACTCCTCCAACTCCAACAAACATTGGACTCAAATTATTACTAGTCTCAATTCCACCAGATCCACTCGAATTAAAATTTGTTACATTATTCCATCCACAGCTAGAATGTTGCAATCCACCAGTACTACTACTCGTTGTCGATGAAAAGTTAATCATTTCAGACGACGATAGTACTACTGATGGATCATATGATATATTTCCATACTGATATGGCTGATGAATTATTTCTAATTCTTCCGAATTAGTAATTCTCAGCCTCTCTCTCCGACTATGTTGCGCTACATGAAATTCAGATACTTGATCACTCATTTCCAATATATAGAGTAAACTGAATAAATTATTACAAAATGTTCGATACAACTGCCTGCATGGTATTATAACAAAATCAAAATTTTCAAATGAACATAACCAAAAAAAAAACATAAAATAGCACAAAAACAAACCCATGTGGGATTGTATAGTAAACATTTAATATGAAGTTGATATTTCTCACTGTTGAGACCGAAAAAAAAAAGTACAAAAAAAGAAAAAAAAATTGGGACATTAATAGAAGTAGACACAAATTTATGTCCCAACAAAAATTAACTGTTAAATTTTCCAAACATAGACAAAAATGTCTCCTAAAAATTAATTACTAACTTTATAGGCCAAAGCAACAATATTTATAGCATACAAGATTTTTACATTACTAAAACTTTCACCAAAACCCTAATTTTCATAAGGAACAAATTCACTAACTTGACCGATTATTATAGATTCTACATTTTGTAAAGACTTACCTATTATTTTAACTAACAAGGTATATAACTTAAACTCGTAAAAAAAAAATATGAATATAGGGAAAAGGAAATTAAAATGGACAGGTGACATAAGTTTAATGAATGTGTTTAAACATTTTTGTACATATAGAAATGAAGCAAATAGTTGAAAAGTTTAGTACAAAGTTTTTTTAAAAAAAGTTTATAAATAAAACTTAGTAATTTGGAAGGAAAACAATAAGTTGATCGATTAATTAATTAATTAACCAAGTAATGATAAAATAAAAAATATAAGAAAGTTGTAGATAGATCTTGATATATATATATAGAGAGAGAGAGAGAGAAAATTTAAGAAAGTAATTAAGGAGAGGATATTACGTACGCCGGTGAAGATTCCGATGAGGTTTCCGGCGAGAATATGTATGTATATATATATATATATATAGATATATTTTATTATATATATAACTATGAGAAAAGAGATAGTTAGGATGTATAGTAAAATTGAAAAGAAGGGGAGGAGGTAGTATTAGTAGTAGGACAATGATTGTCAAGTGGGGAGAAGGACGTGGGGGTGCGGGGGGGTGGGGGTTATTTAAAGTGATAATTGCTAAGAATTTTCTTTTTTTTTTAGATTTAAACAAAAGTTGGACAGAGTCGATTGATACAAAGTTTAAGAAAGTAAAAATAAAAATTTCAATATTAGAGATTTGCTTATTTTATGATTTTAAATATATTATGTAAAAGTAAAATTAAAGGATGATTAAAAAGAAACAAAAGTAAAAACATTAAAATACAAACAATTGAAATAAAATGTAGTAATTTCAAACACTTCATTTTAATATATGCGTTTAAATTTTGTGATCTTAAATTAAAAATACGAAGAATATATAGGTATTATTTAATTTTGTAGTATAAAATGTATATTGTGGAAAATTACTACTATTAATTTAAAGCACATTTTTCATATTTAAAAAATTTCATTCTAAAATTCAAAAAACTCATAAATTAAAATGATGACTAAATTTAGCTTTATTTGGGATTTTAACGTCCCTTGGTCGTTAGATTTGACGGCGAGTATTGTCACCGTCAATAATCTTATTGAAAGGAAATGGATTGATTTGAACTGAACTTGAGGCTATTGAACTTTTAACATTTTCCAAAATTTGAATATCGAAAAAATTAACTAAATACATAATTTATTTTATCATTTTTTTACCTTTTGAAAAAATTAGAAAAATTCTTATTCTCTCCTATTTTGGATACATCACATAAACATACGAAATATATCATGACATTCAGTAATATATCTGAAATCGAGATGCGATATACATCGCGAAAAAGTCAGCATTTCTTGGAATACTGACTATAATGCTACCAAGAATATATATATATATATATGGTTTAACTCTCGAAAAAATAAAAAGTTTTATATAAATTGAGACAACAAAAATATATTTCAATAGCCATAGTTTTTCTAAAGAAGTACTTCGAAATGGAGAATAATTATTTGAGATTATGATGAGATAAATTTAGAAAAATATGGATCGATATTTAATTGTTTTATTAGGGGGTATGAGGTGCTTTTTCGTATTAATCTATAACTAGTAAATTGTTCGCGCTTCACGCAATAGTATAAACTTGTGGTTTAATCTTTATCTAATACCTCAATATTATAAAAAATCTAAAAGTATATATTGCTCTTTATTTTTTGTTCGAAAAAATAATACAAACATAGAAGTCTATCTTTGATTTTGAAAACTAAACAAAATCTACGATTAAATTTTAAACAATGTGAATTACGATAACACAATAAGAAGAAAGCTGAAAACAAAAATTCAGATAACACATTTGTAGTTAACTTTTTGGTATATATAGTTCAATAGAAAAAACTTTATATTTAAAATTCGTGGTGAACTTTAAATAACAGACTACTTACAAATAATTAAAATAGCAAAAAATCTTAAGCACTTCAACTAATATATATAAAATTGGGGAAGCAACATAAAATTTGTTACTCATCACATGAAGAGAGAAGCCCAAAATAGTTCCTCATCTTTGATTTAAGATTCAAAGTCATTATTGAGTTTTCACATGAAGCACTAATAGTTCCTCATATTTGCAATATTGGTGCACTTTTGGTCCTCCTCTAAATTTTTGTCTATTTTATAACATTAATTTTGTTCATAATTTTATGTAAGGAATATCCTATCGTCTTTTTTTATATCTAGTCGAAAAAATAACTCTATGTGAGAAAATGTAAGAAGAAGAACACATTGTTCTGTTCAGGATAAATATTGTTGCAGCTAAACTAAGAACACTTTAACATATGACATTGCAAGAGAAAGAAAAAAATTGTACTATTGCACGTGAAAATCGTCGTGATAAACCTCTCGACTTTACCTGCAATACGATTTCTACTAAACAAAACAAGGTGTTTTTCTTCTCACAATCTCTCACATGAAGTTATTATTTCTATTAAATATATAAAATGACGATTAAACATTTCATACATAAAGTACAAATAAAATCAATGTTTAAAAATAGGCAAAATTTTGAAGGAGGACCAAAAGTACACCAATATTGCAAACATGATGGGCTATTAATGCTCCATGTGAAAACTCAAAAATAACTTTGAATCTTAACCCAAAGATGAAGGACTATTTTGGGCTTTTTCTCTCACATGAAGGATACGAAATAGTGAAAGAAACCATTTTGGTGCTATACATATTCAGTATCCACTATAAGTATGCAACCAACCAAAGATTTTAAAAAAAGGTAATTTAAAAGTAACAATTAGCTTGAATGGGATGGATGCAATAGCGTGAGAAAATATCAATTAAATAATTAGGGACTTTTGAGTTTTTCTCATAATTAAAAGAGTTGAAGAAAATTAACTTTCTAACGTGGCATATGTAACATAAATTACGAAAATTAAAGGAGTGTTTTTTTATAAACATAACACATTATTAATTATACATTCTTTTCTATTTATTTATTTTTAATTTTGCTCAAAAATAAATATGTCAATTACTATTATGATAAATATATGACTATTAATATAATTTAGGAGTAATAATCATCAAAGGTCATATGAGTAATGAATAAAGACTATTAAGTTTTTAGATTAAAGAGTATGAATAAAAGAAGGAGTAGTAATAGACATATTTATTTTTGGATAATAATTAAAAATACATAAATAGAAAAAAAAAGTATAATTAAGAGATAATTTTTAGATCTTAAATATAGATATAGATATACATATAGATATATAGATTGATTGTAAATAAATAAAATAATAAAGAGAGAAATATTAAAAATATTTTTAAAAAATTGTCATTTTGTAATTCAGAGAAGGCAAAAAAAAAGAAAAAATTTAAGAGTGGAAATTAGAGAGATGTGAGTTATAGATATTTTTTAGTCTTTGTAAATTGACATGTGAAGAGTTTTTGTTGTAATTATTCCTCCACTAATGAAATATTTATTTACAATAAATTAAGTAATTACTTTTACAATAAAATAATTGATTTAAATTAGAAGAAAGGCCCAAAAAGGAGATAAAAGATAAATATAAATGAAAGTCATAGAGAGTTGTCACATTACTTTCTTTATGTTTCTCCTTATATATAAGAAATGAGAGAATGAAATAGTACTAATTGACATATTTATTTTTGTACGATAATAAGTAAATAAAATTAATAATAATAAAAAAGGTGCATCACTTCTCTAACGCCTAACTTTATACTATATATAATATTGATAAGAAGCTCTCATCTCCTTAATTAGTCTCGAATCTTGATCATCTTGCACATTCTAACATGCTCCTTTGAACATATACCTACAAAATAAGAAGTTGGACTCCATATGTTGGAACCAATTAGTATATGTGAAGATGAAAATGAAAATTTGAAAAAAAAGAGCATTAAAACAAAAATATTTAACCATAATATCCCAAATCATTGAGATGATAGCAATTTTTGTCACATAAAGCATGTATTTTTTATACTTATATAGTGATAGATGAAGTCACGAGGTTTAAACACGAGGAAGATAAAAGATCCTTTTATTTTGTAGAGTAACCCTTTAGGTGGAGTTATCAGAGGATTAATGATAGGCCTTTTGGGTTTCATAAACTGATTTTTTTTTATGGGAAATAAAGAAGAGTAAATGAGGGAGGTGTAATTAAGAAATTATAATTTTAAAGTGATTTTTAACCTTTTAATATAGCATATAAATAAAGAGTAAATTTTAAAAAAATTGAAAAAATTGAGAAAAAAAATAAGTATGAATGATGGCCATTGAGAGGTGCCACATCACCTAATTTATATTTAGTTTTATTATATATATAGATTTTTTTAAATGACGATTTAAACATTTCTGTAGAGTAAATCAAAAGACGCATTTAAAGGAATATTATATCATCATTAAAACTTATAAGTTATTGAAAATGTTAAAGACCTATTTAATGTTTTGTTGGTAAGATTGAACAATATATAAAATCAAAATTTATTGTTGTCTAAAAGAATAATTTTAAAATTGTTGTCTTTGCGT